TCTCTGTGTAGCTTTGCGCCTTTCCTGGAACTCGCTCTGTAGCCCAGGCTGGCCTCGAACTCACAGAGATCCGCCTGCCTCTGCCTCCCGAGTGCTGGGTTTAAAGGCGTGCACCACCACCACCCAGGTACCACATAAGGTTTTAAGCCAACAATCCAGTTTTCTCAAACAACCCTACATGTTCCAGTGTTCCACTAAATAAGTTTAATTCGCTGTCCTAACATTTATTCTATTTTTTTTGAATGTGATGTTATCATATAAAACTCAATTAGGTGATGACACAATACAGCATCACTATGATACAACAGACTCACCAGTTTAAACATCCACTTACATGTGGCCTACAGGGACACTGACTTCCAGGAAGAGTGACAGTGTCTCAATGGTAAAGTTAAAAAGATAAGTGTTATTTGAAGACAGCCTGAAAAAATGCATTCATGGCAGCAACCACGTGAACGGGGCCAAGCCAGCCAGACGAGGTAGCAGGTCTGGAACCCAGAGCCGCAGCAACCAGCTTCTGTCTCCTAAATCGCCATCTCCCCAGTTAAGGTTTGGATCGAGAAACTGATTTTCTTACAGGTAAGAGAGATGAAGAGACCCCAGACTACGGACAGAACAGCCTATATGTTTGAACCAGTGACCCTCAAGCTCCAGGGAAGTACTTTTTATGTGTTTTATAACACCCTTTAATTATGCTGTCAAAAGCTCAAATTTTAACTTGTATTTCAGACCAATACGAGCCACGTAAATGTGACATTTTAGCAGCAGACAATTTCGTTTCTCCTTACTTTGACCACAGTGCTGTAAATATTTTTTTTAAATAACATTTCTCAATGGAGATGAAGGCAGGAACCTACTAATATAATATTGGAGCAGCAAATACTGACGTCCATTTTATCTTAGGTGAGATGAATATCTTTAAGTAGTGAGGCTATTTGTCATAACTACATTCGCATAATTCTAGGGTCAAAATAACTTTGAGCTAACCAAACAGGTTAGAAGACTACGGGAAACCAATTTTGCATAATGAAAAAAAAATGATTTTTAAATGACAGAGTACCCGGTATCGATTTAATAGTGTGGGAAGACATTAAAACTAATGATAAGCCTACCTTCAATGACTACATCTTCTCCTGGGAACTGAAGTTACATCACAGCGGGAATTTAACCAGGCAAGGGAAAGCGCTGTGTCACAGTGTTTCAGCACTGGAAAACTGGACACCAGCCAACGAGTCCTCCATGGGATGCTGGGACTGCGCAGAGCTGATGTGTGAAGAGGTACCTACGCACAGAAAGGGATGCTCCTCGTGTACTAGGTGGATGTGAAGGACAGTAATGGTGTATGCACGACCTGTGCCCCCCCCCCACGTGTCCTCACCCCAGAACGTGGTCGGAGAATCACTGAGGACAGTAAACACGTGGGATCAGGAAGCCCCCTACTCTTTCTGCTTCCTGTATTGGGACTGTTTTGTTTGGGAAGAACAACGTCCTTTACATAAGTAGGGTACATTAAAAAATATACCAGACAGTCTTGAGAAGAAGCAGAGTTGAGTTTGAAAATGAACACTAGTGTCCCTCAGTTCAAGACAAACGAGGCTTAAGTACTGTGCCATGTTCCAGTCAACCAAGTAAACAAAAAAAGACTAGGACACCGGCGGTGATAGACACATTCTTCAAACATGAATGTTGAAACTTTCGAGACGATTCTCTGCTAACAATGCCTCGACCAGAATATGTAACACGCACATGAATGGAGGCCACGCCATCCCCCCAGGCAGTCAAACCAGAACCTCAGCAGAGCTTTATTTACCTGTCAACATTTGGTGGAGAAGGAAAGGGGCACCAGGGGAGGCGGGTGAGTGAGCAGAGTGCACACCGTCTGCGTTTGGCACCAACCATCCCGCACCCCGGCAGGAGCACTTGCCGCCGCCGAGGAGGGGCATGGGCACAGAGGTGGGAAGCCCACAGGAAGGCCCAGACCTCAACGTCCACAGAACGCGAAGCTACGGTGTCTATGGAGGAGAGGCTCCGGAACACCCAGTCACAGCCAGCCGAGGAGAAGGCGGGCTCCTTCAACCCAACTCCTAACACCAGCATCTGCATCACACACTACACGGTCCTGTATTTACTGACGTCTCTACAGCCATCCTTTCTTCTCGGCCCCATAGCGGCCCTAAGGATCTTATTCATTGTTCTTCCTCATGTAGCATATACTCCAAGGGCTCAGTGATTACACCCGAGAAGGAGAAATAAACGGCGTCTAAGACACAAGGTCTGAGGTAACCAAAGGCGTAAAACTCGGACAGGAAGAAGGGAATGGTGTCCAGAGTTCCTTTGGAGGGGGAATGAGAGGCCAAGGTGAGCAGTTGAAAAGGGCTCTCAGCATGCTGAGCCTGCCAGTACAGGCTGTAACCTCAGCTATTTAGGAGGTTCCCTCAGGAGGACAGCAAGTTCAAAGTCAGCTTGGGTTGCGGCAAGTTCAAGGCCTGCCTGGAGCACTAGTGAGACCTCGCCTGAAAATAAAAAAACTAAAAAAACAAAGGGGTGGGATATAGGTCCGTGGTGGAGCTCTTGCCTGGCACACCTCAGGTCCTGGATTTAGTTCCAACACTTAAAACAAGAGGAGGAGGCGTGGGGTATGATCAAAATACACTCTATGAAGTTCTTGGAATAACAATATATATTTTTCAAAAGCGGCTAATCATGTTATGTCTGGCGTGCTATATCTGGGAGCTAAGAGCTCAACCTGAAGGAAATGGAGGACTCATGGATGAGCTGTAAAGAAACAAAAGCATGATCAGACCTGTATTTTAAAGACCCTTCTCAGTGATATTGAGGGAGAGGCCTCGGAGCGGGTGTGGCGGCGAGGGAGAGGAGAGGAAGTAAGTGGTTTCTGCGACAAAGCCAGTGAGGGACTAATGCTCTGGCCAGAGGAGCAGCCAGGGCAGGGGACGTGGGTGTGACCAGACTGCTTCTGGCCCACAGCCGACTTGCCTTTGCAATTGAGAGCGCCACCCTCTGCAGGGAAGCCCCACAGAGAACACAGTGCCCGGCTCCATGTCAGCCCCAACGCACCATTTCCAACGGAGACGAGGCCTGACTTTGTTTTCTTCACAGGCCATGACTATGTGAATGTAACACAGAAATCACCTTGGAAGCCTGGGTGCTTGACTTCTATCAACTCTCTGGGAGAAGTTCTCCATGATTTCCACCACGACACCTGTACCTGCTGCTGGAAAGGATTCTGTCCTAAGCACTGAAGACGTTCAATGACGTTTCATGTTTTCCTATGTCTCATCTCACGTCCGGCTAGTGGGATGACTCGTCCATGGTTTTGAGCTAGAAAGTCATTTGTATGTATTTACGTTATTGATGAGTAGGATATTATTACTAACAGAGTACTCTGGGTTGCATCGTCCATATGCTTGTTCTCAGCACGGATCTAAAAGCGTGCAGGATACTGCACGGTGAGTGCCCACGCTGCTGCCGCCGCATCCAGAGGTGGCGTTTGCCTGTGTCAGAGGAACCCGGAGAAGCAGTCCAAGACAGCCTGCTTCAACACTGCCTGATCGGTGTTTGGGGCAAGGCACTGTTTTTATATGTCCAGTTTACTAGGATAACTAGCTGTACTGTACGGTTATTCTGAAGGGAAGATAAAGCACTTCTGTTATATTACTAAGACTTGCAGCTTCTGAGTAGATCTCATAGTATTCGGTACATAGATCAAAATTTCCTCCCGGGTCAGTTTACAAGAAAAATCTTTGTTTGTTTTGTTTTTCGAGACAGGGTTTCTCTGTGTAGCTTTGCGCCTTTCCTGGAACTCGCTTTGTAGACCAGGCTGGCCTCGAACTCACAGAGATCCGCCTGCCTCTGCCTGCCGAGTACTGGGATTAAAGGTGTGCGCCACCACCACCTGGCTGGAAGAAGAATCTTAAAGGCAATTAATTCTCTGACGTTCTTCCAGGTAAATTCTCATAGGAAATCCACTGCTCTGCTCGTCCTTCTGTAATGGCTGGACACTTGCTGGCCAGTCAAACAGACTCCAGTCTGGTCTTTATGGAATCGCACAGGGAAAGGAAAAGGGTGTGGGAGACAAACGCAAGTTCCTACAGCAGTAAAGTGGACACAAGACCACCGAGAGGAGGGTGCAATCAAGAGAACAATACGGGGCAGGGGAGGAGATGGGGGCATCTTTAGTCACCCGCGGTGGGGAGCAGAGGCAGTCGGATCTCTGTATTGGAGGCAAGACTGGTCTGCCTAGTGAGTTCCAGTCTGACGAAGCTCCACAGCAAAATCCTGCCCCAATACAAGAGGAAAGAATAACTAAAGGGAGGTAGTGGTGGGCGGGCAGGGCGAGCAGGCTGCTCATTGGAAGGAATTTTCGTGTTTGTGTGAGGCAGGCTCTGAATCTGTATCTTAAGCTGACCCCTCCAATGCGCCAATCTCACTGCCTCAGACTCCTGCCTTCTGAAATGACTCACGTGAGCCTCTGCGCCCGGCTGAGGAATTTAACTTCTTAAGGGATTTTCACAGGCACAGTCAGTTTGGGGAGATGCACTCCTGCATAATTCAGCAAGGTGTGTAAGTCTCCACCACCTCCATACTTCATCTCCAACGGCAATACTTTGGGTGGCAGACACAAGGAGGATTTCAGTTATTTTATCCATTCATTCAAATATGACATATGGGGTAGAATAATTTACCTTTAGACAGGCAGTCTCAGGTGTTGGTGGGTTATATAAGTGGAGCTGTCTAAAATTAGCTGCAGATATAGACATTTTGAGGGGAGGGAGAGAAACAGAAGGCGATCTGCTAGGTATCTTCATGTTTAAGGTCACCAAGACCAGGGGTGAGACTAGAAGGGCTTGGGCAAAACACCAATATTGTTTCATGGAACAAAACAAGTACAACACACTGCAAAACAGCCTGTAGGAGCAGTCAGAGAGAATGGGAAAACCCCAAACGGAGCAACACTGTCAGAGGAAGCGGAACCATCACAGGCAGGGTACCACTATCGCATAGATGGTGCCACTATCATAGCTCTCGATGATGTATCCTGCATCTCCATCACAGGCAGGGTACCACTATCA